CCATTTTCACGGCCGGATCCATGTGCCTGTTTTTTTCCCCCTTTTATTCTCCTTTTGGAATCTGACAACCTGGCCACGGGGCTGAGATGCCCTCGTTGAGGGCACACTCACACTACCACTTCCAAGAATGTATACAACTGCAATCACGGCCAAAGCTTTGTTTCCTTTTTTTTCTTTCCTTCTTTTCTGAGGTTCACAGCCGCAACTTTTCTTCTTCTTTTTCGGTTTTTTTTTGTTCTATCCCTGAGAGTACCAGAAAGAAAACGGAGTGGTATTTGTTCTATCCCTGAGAGTACCAGAAAGAAAACGGAGTGGTACCCAGGCTCGGCGAACTCGGAGCACAGTGAAATTCGGGATCGGCAAAAATAGGCTTGTCCATTTAGTTTGCCACTTTGCGTTGGCGGGAAGCTGCAATTCTATGGTTTTCAAAGGGGGGATGCATTTTTGCAGCTTCTCCCCGTTTTTTTTTTTTTTTTTTTTTTTTTTTTTTTAAATGTGCAGAAGTTGACAATATTGAAATTTTCATGGAAGACTGCTATCGTGTGTGTGTGTGCACTGGCAATTCAATGCGCCGTGGCAGACGGCGTTATTGTGGTAAGAAATTTCCGTGGAAGACTACGATCGTGTGTGTGATCGTGTGTGTGCGTGCACTGACAGTTCAATGCGCCGTGCCGTGGCAGACAGCGTCATTGTGGCAAGAAATTTCCATGGAAGACTGCGATCGTGTGTGTGTGCACTGACACTTCAACACGCCGTGGCAGATGGCGTAATTGCAACCGTGGGTACATTCGTATAGATGAAAAATTATATTTTTTGAATGTTTTTATTTAAATAAAAAAAGAACACCACACGCCGTTTTGCACCACCGTAGTGGATCCGAGTCCCAGATTTGACAGGCTTAAACCACTAGTACCTTTGCCGCGTGGGAAAATAGCGGGCCTAAACAACGGCCGCCGGCCGATCAGATTTACACTGGGCGAGGTACTAGTGGTTTAAGGGGTAACTTCAGTAGAGTCACAAAAACGAGTTATAATTTAATTGCACTATGGGCCAAGATACAGTTTGCAATTGCACTTCGGGCACACAACCTGGCCAGAAAGTTGGGTTGTATACACTGCCCTAAGTGCAATTTGAAACTGTATCTTGGCCCATATTGAAATTATACTCGTAAAAAAAAAATATATATACATATATATACTCGTTTTTGTGACTCCCGCCTAGTTTCCCCAATTTAAAAAAAAAAATCAGCGGGTAAAAAAAGCTGTGAGGTGAAATTGAGAGAAGAATATAGTTAAAAATAAAAATAAAAACAAATTAGGCTTCTACCTACTGATCGTAATGGCAGTGAACATTGTGGTACGGTGTGGCTCACAGGCACAGATACTCTCGATGGGGCTTGGTCGGCTTGGTCGGTGATGCCTTGCTGCCCAATGAGGGCCCCACCCAATTTTCATAAGGGATGCCGTCCAAAATGAGAGTGAATCTTCGCATAGAACATGGAAAGATACACCGCCGTTTATTTTGTCTTCCTCGCATGTGGAGACTAGTGTAGCTATGCCTTTCGCCTCCCGCCTCCCCCCCCTTCATTTTTTTGGAAAAATTGCATCTGTACCACATCCCGTTCCCATGCCAACTTGCACCTATACCCGGAAAACTGCCGCCACTCTGGCACCAACCACTGGAATGCACAAATTATGGACATACCCAGGCAAAATTATGGCCATACCGAGAACTGAGTTGGACTGGCCAAATTATTCATACACCCTACCACCAGATGGCTGCAATTATGCTTATACCCACCGACCGCTGGGCCAAAACGGTCCACGTGGTGGGCATGAGCATAATTTTGTGGTATGTCATCCAATGCCCTGTAGCTGGCTGTGGGTACACCCACAATTTTGCCGTCCCGTTTTTGGGCATGAGCATAATTTGGTTTTGCCCGGAACTGAGGGCCTCTACGAGATTGGGTATGCCCACAGTTTTGCACAGGGGAAAAGTTGGGTACTATGGGATTGGGTAAGCCCACAATTTCGCACAAGGGGAAAAGTTGGGTACTATGCAACGTTGAACGGGGTCTGGGTATAGATGCAATCTGGGCGCTGGGACTGTGTTTAAGTGGGGGACGGAACCCCTTTTTTTTCTTGCCCAAACTAGACAAGACGGCCTTACTGTCATTGGAGTATATTACGGGGGACCCCGTAGCAGCCACATCCGTGCTCAAGCCTCCAACCAACGAGGGAACATGCGTTAGCTGCACCCACCAGCAGGTGCGATACCTGCTACAGCTGGTGGTCGATACCGGCCAGGGGTCAGCCGGTAGCATCAAGTCACTGTGCCTCCCCCCCGTCTCCTTCCCCCTATGAACATCAGTAATCTCTGCGTAACGCCTCTGGGGGAACCAACGGCATATCTCCAGGTGGCGGGCGCCAAGCATGCCCAGGAAGGTACATGAGCCGATGGGGATTGAACTCAAGACCTCCTGAATGCCACTTGCGTCCCTTACCAACTGAGCTATGCCGCTGGTTCCACGTGTCTTCCCTGGGCCTAACCGAGAGCTTGATTTACGCTCTAATATCTATTCACAATTGTTTTCGGCACCACGACAGAATTTTACACCGTTTCAACCTTCGCGCGCAGAGGCCTTGCGTCTTTTTTTTTTTTTTTTAATTACCTGTCAATTCTGGACAGGACGGCCTTTCAGGCCTTTTAACCCAGAGCTTGATTTACGCTCATATCTATATTGACCATTATTCAACGGTTCCGCAGCACGACAGATTCATGCTCGTTGGCGTGCGTAAGATTCATCACAGATATGGCCACGATCGCCCACTTCCTTTTTTGTTTGTTTTTGCTCTTTTCAAACAGAATTTCAAACCATTTCAACCTCGCGCGCAGGGGCCACGCGTCTTCCCTTCGCCTAACCCAGAGCCTGATTACGCTCATACCTATACACCATTATTCAACGTTTCGGCAGGACGACACAGAGTCATGCTCGTGCGTGCGTAAGACTCAGCACAGATAGCCACGTTCGCTGTGAAGTAGACACAAAGACACAGAGGAACGCTTACCCGTTTCCCCGTTCGCAGCTCCCCTCCTCCCCTCACAAAAGCGCGCGCGAGTCCGCACACACGCACACAAGCGCGCGCGAGTCCGCACGCATCCAAGTACCCATGCGACAGACCACACTTGTGAAGGCGCTCACACGCACACGCAGATTGTGTCGCTTAAGTCCACATGACACCAAGACACAGAGAGAGAGAGGGATGACACAAAGAGAGAGAGACAGAGAGACAAAGAGACACAGAGAGAGAGAGAGAGAAAGAGAGAGAGAGAGAGAGAGAGATGATCCAATTCGACACTTAGGTAAGTGGTGTTTCGTTGTACAAGCTTAGACTATAATAGAGTGGGAGAGTTGGGTAATCATCCACGACATTGACCATCAGTTCCTACTATACTTGACGACACTATGAGCGCAGGCATACCTCCCTCGTTAACTGAGCCAGCTCCTTCCTCTCTGTTTCCCTTGCCTTTCTCTCTCGTCATCAAGCTTTTCTGGCTAAATGGAAGCGAACCGTACGATTGACAAATAAGTAAGTTCTGGGTCCGTCCAGATCGCAAACGTGTTTATCCAACCCTTCCGCTCTTCGCGCTTCTCAAAAAGAAATCAACCATACAACGAAAGGAAAAAAAACAAGTCATCGACCGAACACCTCTCCCCTAGCATCACCGATTAAAACTCACTGCGATCATCTCTCTCAAAAAGCACCCATTAAACTCGGCTGTATGTAATTCACACCAAACATTTGCCAGAAACGACTTCACAACCCTTCGTTGAATGCTTCCTCTGTCTACCGATCTGAAGATCGAATGCTTCGTCAATTGCCATAACCTGGCCTGTCTAATAAATTTAAATTTGTTGTTCATCGTCGTTTTTTTCTTGCCCTTTTTTTTTTTCCACTACCCTATCGATCGAAATATGAGAGCTTTCTTACAAGCAAGCACCCAAACGCTCCCACCTCCTTCCCCTGTGAATTCTCCCATCTCTCCATCGTAAAAACTTTAGGGGGACGATCGCGCTATCGTATGGATCTTCTTCGGCCCACCAGCCAGCATCTCATTCTATTATCCAGGCCCGTCTCGACCTTCCAATTCTTATTAATATATTGAATTTTACCAGTTTCATACGGTTTCGAGCCTCCGACCTCTCCATCAGGCTATCTATTCTTCATAGTGTGCCCTAACACAGAAAAAACACAATTGCTCCATCATCAACCATCTCATGTCGGGGCGTACTCACACTAGTACTTTACTTCATGTATCCGACAGCAATTATGAGCAGACCTGGACGAATTTGACCCCAATAACGTCCAGAGCCTTGTGGAAAAGGTCCTCGTGTGAGTATGAACTCATCCTACATAGTATCTAGGCTGTCACAAACCTCTTATTTCTTTTCAATATATTTGTCCATTTATTGCTAGCTTACGACGGTTGCCACCACGCTGACTTCGTCCTTCGTCGTGTCCCCCTTTGCCCTAAACCGCCGTTGATTAGATCTACCCCATATAATAATGGCTTAAAGATCGGACCCCAGAGCTGAGCCTGATCTACACCATTGATTCACAGATTGACAAAACACCAATGGCTGTAGCTCTGCATTCATCGAGATGAATCCGAGCACCTCGGGGAGCACGCACTGCTCCACCAATAATCAAAGAGCTCCTCTTCATCGTCGTCCTTCGTAACCGGAATCAACTGCCCATCAAAAATCCTACGCGGTACCTCCTTTCCCCGAGTAGAACGCCCGGTCATCTACTCGAAATCGAGAGTGCTTTTCATGAGCGATTCGGGCACGCACTGTCCCACACGCTCTACTGTGGGCGGAAGGCCGTGCACCTGGCCGGATTAAGCGCTAGCTCACGTTCGGACTCACTCTCCTGCACGAATCGGACCGTATTCACAGCCAAAGACGCAATCTAAACTGAGCGCATACCCGCACGAGCACTTTCGCAAATGAATCCGACAGCAATCACGGTCAGATGATCTCGGTGCATCTCTCACCGCAATCACGTCCGTAACTCAGTCGCAAAAGACCGCAATCACGTCCGTAACTCAGTCGCAAAAGACCTACCGCAGTGCGACTATGGCATAAAATGAGACAAATTACCACTAGACTAGAACGAATAGGAAAAGCGCCCCTGAAAAGATCAGCTTCCGAGTGACCGAGTCCGTTCCCCCTCCCTCTTCCCCTCCCCCTCCCCCTCTCCCTCTCCCCCCCCCGGCCTTGCGACGCGCTATCATAGCCAGCGTGCGCGCAAGAGGGAGGCACTGCAACCCACTCATTTGCAGGTTTTCCACTTCAGCCGGAACGCGAGGACTACGTCCTTGGTATCCACGTCGATGAAACCTGCTCCACTGCGATTGGCGCTGTTGTCGACTCGGACCTCCGCCTTGACGTTGAGATTCCTCCTGAGATTGCAAGGGCTCCAGACTTTGGGAGTGACGGGACCGGAGTGCTCGTAGTTGTCATCGAAAGGGCCAGTGGTGGAACCAGAGAAACTCCCCGTCCCAGTTTGGCCTGTGAGATAGTAGCTCACCTTGTGAGTCGCCTTCACCTTATCGTCGAGGAAAGTGTACCCGCGAAGCGTGACCATCTCCAACGAGAACGAGTAGCCCGGTGAATAAGTCATCGCAATATTCAACTGGCAGGACTTGCGCATTCCGGACACGCCCTGGTCCGTGGTAGCGCTGAAAGCGCTGTACTTCATGGTGATCACCAGGCCGTCCACGCTGATCTCGCCGACAGCGGTACCGCTGGGACACCCGTTGCCGTTATACTTGAACGACGAGATCCTGGGACTCTGTGCATCGACATCCGCGCTCAGCAGTAAAAGCGTCAGCAAGCTCATGCCCACCATCGCCTGCAGCACCGTCGTTACCGATCTAGCCGTGCGCTCCGCCATCGCCGTCATCTTCTTCTTCTCGTCCTCGTCTCAGAGGAGTGGCTGCAAAAGGACAAGCACTTGTCCCGCGGTCTTCTGCGCTTCACCACCGCTTGCTTCGCCCTCCGTGGTAGAGACCTCTTTGCTCTCTCCCTCCTGCTGAGACTGATCGATACGAAGAAAACTTCGACAATCACGAGGTAAGGCTGCGAGGACTACATTCCATTACCATCATGCTGCCTACTATCTCATACTCCAGTCCCCTGTCTACGGTTCTGGATAAGAATTGTCGCCAGCGCATGAGAGTATAATATGCTGCCCGTACCACTACCACAGCAGGATTTCCACTACCACAGAGGACAGGGACTGGAGCAAGGCCCGTGAGTACTCGGATTTTTTTTTATTTTTATTTTTTCCAGAAAGCAAACATGTAGTACAACAACAGGTCGTACTCGTATTTCCTATTTCTGTCCGTTGATCTTAAAAACTAGGGAGAGAAACGGAGAACACGTGTCAGTTGCTGGCATCAAAAATTCACGGCGGTCAGATAGGGAATCGCAAGGCCTTTCCACATATGTTCCTTTTTTTTTTTTTTTTCGTTCTTGGGAAAATTTGGCTGGCGCCCCTGTAATTTCCATTAATTTGCGCCGAGCCCCTCTGACGACCCACGTACTCTGTTGTGCCCCTCTGACCACGATTCAAATTTTCCATAATCCAAAAAAAAAAAAAAAAAAAAAAAAAAAAAAAAAAAAAAAAAAAAAAAAAAAAAAAAAAAAAAAANAAAAAAAAAAAAAAAAAAAAAGCCGTAAGTCCTTCGTGACATCCATTAAAATTGGAACGATACAAGGATGACACGAAAAAAGAAAAAACAGTCTGGCACAGTCAAGCTTTTTTTGACTGTATAGCGAATATGACAACACACACACACACACACACACACAGAAAGTCATTTTTGGGGGCAGCTACCATGTGCTTGAAATCCGAATTTTGAAACTTGCGCCCCTTGCTGACAGGGGCATGCAGGAAACTTCAGGGGCCCGAAGGGCACGTCGGAGGGGCGCGACACAAAATAATGGAAATTACAGGGGGGCAGACAAATCTCCCTTTTTTTTTTTTTTCCTTTTTTGAAAAGCATGCTCTGATCTATTTGTGGGGAACAGCACGTGCTGGGAGCCCAGAACCGGGGCCATGTCCCACTTCTCGAGGTTTTGTTCTGGTTTCGAGTGTACATGGCTCCTTGCCATCCGATCTGAAAATCTCACGGCCCTGGTGTGGCCACGTTGGAAAATACACGAAAGGGAAACTAAACCCCTGCTAGTGGGTCAAGGCCCCCGGGCCCAGCATCCCTTCTGAATTGTACATCTTTTGAACAGGCAATCATTAGGACGTAACCACTGTGGTGGAAACCGGGCCCAGCGTTCCATCTCAATCTTTGTCAATCTTTCCTCCTTTTCTTATCTCTTGGCCCCGGGGCACCAGCAGGGCCTCCTTTCCCTTGCCCCTGCTAACCTCTTTTTTTGAAAAAAAAACTTGCGCAAGGCCTCTATCCCGGTGGTGGTAAAAGAACCGCCGGAATCCATCTATTGGTGGGGAGCCTCACCTGCTGGAAACCGGGTGCAGCGTTGTCGGTGTGAATAAAGGGTATCCGCCCTGGTTTTGCAAATGACAAAAGAAGACTTGATGCCAATTTTTTTAGTACACCAAGCGAGTAGAGGTTGTGTTTCTATTACCTGACTGAAGGTTGGCAAGGAATAGGGAGTATGTGGGTGCGCAGTTTTGAGTCACACATGCTATTTTCTTATTGATAATATTTTGATATTATAGCCGGCCAATTTTTTATTTTTGATTAAACCACCAGTACCTCCGTGCCTGTTTCTGTCGACCCTGAATTTCACTGCACTCCGTGTTTGCCGAGCCTAGGTCCCACTCCATTTCTTTATGGTACTCTCACGGGGAGGCAAAAAAAAGAGGAAAAAACAAAAGAAAAGTTGCGGCCGTGAAACTCACAAAAAAAGAAAAGGAAACAATGCTCTGGCCGTGATTGCAGTGGTATACATTCTTGGAAGTGGTAGTGTGAGTGTGCCCTCAGTGAGGGCATCTCAGCCCGGTGGCCAGGTTGTCAGATTTCAAAAACACAAAAAAAAAAAAAAACAGAAACACGTATTCAGTCGTGAAAATGGCTGGATACGTTCCTCTAAGTGCCAGTGTGACGAGGGTTACAATCCTCTGAGGGAACACAGCCCGAGCAGATCACTGATTCAGATTGTCAGATTCCAGAAACAGAAAAAAAAAAAAAAAAGGGCAAAAAAACAAAAACAAAAAAAAAACGGAAACACGGATTCAGCCGTGAAAATGGCTGCATACATCAGGGTTACAATCCTTTGAGGAAACACAGCCAACGCAGATCACGGATTCCGCCCCGCCTTATTGGCAGGGGACTCATAATAAACAAACGATAAATAAAAAAAAGAAAACAACAAGTTTCAGAATGTGACCGTCTTTCTGTAGGATGCATTTTGTAGAGGAATATTGTGAGCACGACCTCCTAGACTACCCTGCCAGACATCATTGCAGTACATAAGCTTTTTTTTTTTTTTCCTTTTTCTTTCATACGCGGGCAAAAGAAAACTAAGATTTATGAAACTCGTCGCCCCTTGGTCCCACCACCGATTTTTTGGGGGACAAAGCACTACATTGTAATTTCCCAACACTGGCAGAGGTATTAGTAGTTTAAACGACCGGTCCCCCTGGCGCATTGACATTGTCGAAGTACCAGTAGGCCGCGATCGACCCTTTTTGGTTGCGCGACCGGTTTTTTCGCGGCCTACCGGGTCCCACCCCGATTTGTCATTTAAGATGTGGGACCCTGTAGGCCGCATGCTGAGGAATTCCGTCGTCGCAGCCCGATGTCCGAGTTGTTGTATCTGGACATGGAAGTAATCGGCCCGACCCTATATTTCATTTATCGTAAATCCAAAACTTCCAAAAAATGTATAGTTTTTTTGTTTTTCCCGAATGTTTCCCGTTTATTTCGTGTTTGTTTTTATTTTTATTTTTATTTTTTTCTGATTGTTTTCACATTTTTTGCCAGCAGGTGAAACGACACGGTCGTTTCGGGCAAGACGCGTGACAAGACATTCCTGCAGCCATCCCCTGACGGGAAGCCACCGACGGGTGGCAGGTCTTCGTGCACGTGTACGTTTCCCACGTGACACCCTATCCTCGCGGCGAAAAACGTAATGATCCGTGCCATCACGACCGCGGGGCCCGGACGGATGACGTGGTTGGCAACGTTCAAGCCATGTCGAACAGTTGCGACGTTGCCGTTCGTCTGTCTCTCTCTCTCTCTCTCTCTCTCTCTCTCTCTCTCTCTCTCTCTCTCTCTCTCTCTCTCTCTCTCTCTCTTCAGCGGAAGACGAAAAGTCATAAAACAATGGTTGTTGCCATCATTGTTGTCTTTCGAGATTCGAGTTAGACGATTGTCGTCTTTCTCTTTTTTCTCAGGCATCAACGACAACGACAGCCGGTGAGTCCGATAGGCAGACCACTCTCTGTCGAAGACCCTCTTCAACTTCCCCC